TGGATCACGGAAGCACTGGACCCCAAATGGCACCAATACGTAATGTCCCACGTAACTGAGACGAGAGGAAAAGGCCTCAAGAATGGTTGTTCGTTTATTGGAAGAAATGAGGGCGATTAAATAATGTGTGCAAAAGAAGATCATTGTTTATCCAGGCTTCTCCCAATCGCATTTCAGTGTTGCTTGCTCATTCTGCTTCTGTTTGGACTGCACCGTCTCAGATTGGCTGGCACGATCTGCCTATGGTGTTTTGTCAGAAGCAGTGACTCGTACACGGGTCATTGACGTCACCTTTGAAATTTGATTGATCGCAGGTGTCCAAAATCTGTAACGCGCCACTCCAAGGTAGGTGTCATGTCGTAGGTCTGGATCACCACAGATACATATATAAACGCAGTTGTGGACTCCACCTCGACTTCTCTATTAAACGCATGAATAAGATCGATTGATTTCCGTGGCACCAATCAAAGAAAAATGCAATCGACCGAACACAATGTATTTGACTACTCATCTTTCATATTTTTTAAACCCTCAGTTAGATTGATTCATGATTTCATGATTCATGAATGCATACCGTGAAAGGGCAAAGCCGGGGAGGCAGATAGATGATGCGTAAAAATATGTTCAGGTAAATTTAAGGACGCAGATTATTACGTGACCTATTTGCTATCCTTGCTTGCATCATATCTGAACCGCTTAAGCTGAACACATTTGACTTGAGTACGTTATGGTCATGCTTAAAAGGAACGATGCAGCAAACAGTTGGAAAATCCTTCTCACGAAACTCCCTGAAAAGATGCTCGATGCATCTTGGGACACGCTGTTTCCCGAATGCCCTTGGAAACGGTATCAAAAGGGTCACACTAACAGACATGCATTCAGTCCCCCTTGCAACATTGCCTTACCCTTCCATCCCTTTCATTTGCAAGGTACCCCTTCCTCCTTCACATCCCATTTTCTTAGGAAAATTAGTCTTGCATTATCACAGTTCTTTCCGTTTATGGATCCTCTGAACGGGAGGGATGTAAGCTGTCACATTCTTCCTGAAACTATCTCTGATATCGTTCGGTTACCCATGGACCCATCTGCAGTGTAATCCTTTTGCAGGTCTAACCTTGGAAACACTTGGAACACAAAGAACTATCGAAGCACCGTGTCGCCCACCTCGAGCTCACCTGGTGCACGAAACTGAACTTCATCTGGCTTTGCTGCAAGTCCTGTGTCCTGTCCTGTCCTGTCCTGTCCTACACTGGGAGGGTAGGGGGCTGCTCTACTCACCGTCGACCTCATTATGGAGAACAACGGACCTGGAAAGCATGTATCCTGAAAGTGCCAATGGGAGAAGTTGAGCTGTTACTACGATTTTTCAGTTGAAGGCATTGCATAACTTACACTACTATGAATGTAATATGAAGAAGGACGAAATCGCACTTCACGGACAGCACGACGATAGACGATTGTTTTTGACATAGATTGTTCGTTACACACCTGGTTTAAATCAGCCTGCAATTCAGGACAATAATCAATATGTACTAGCTCAAGCAGACAAGAGAATCCTTGCTGTTACGATCAGTGAAGCAGAATCTTTTTCACATAAAACCATAAAACAAACCACATGAGCTTTTATCCTCGGTCTAAACTTAAGACCAAAACGAATGTCCCATGCCTAAATCACAATAGTAATGAGGCGGAAACAACGCAACTTAAGAACGGCATTCAGATCGCATGCTACTATTGTCATGGCTCTACGCGTGTACATAAAGAGCAAATGGACGATGCAATAATGAGAGAGAGAGAGAGTGACGCACCAATCAGATTGGGACCTTGTCTGTCCAATTGGTTGATCAAACAACCGTTGCGTGATTTGTTCTCTATAGCCATCCAATCCGGTCTCGATTTGTCGTCGGTGTCGTTAGCGTACTTGTGGCCGGGCGCGGTCCCGTGCACGGCTTGATGAGTTCTGTAAGCTCTGTCCTAACGTATTGTTATGAGAATTTCGTAAAATCCAGGCATCGATTGGGCTCCTTTACAGACCTGCTCTCAACCGAATTGAGGACCGCTGATGATTATCCCCTTCGGAGAGGTATTTATGGCGATGTCAAGGACTATTGCTCCTTTGCTGCTGTATACCGACTGTCTAAGAAGCAGAATGAAAGAACGTCAAAAACTCAGGTTTGGAGCCTCTGGTCCGCACTAGGTAGAAAAGGTGTAGTGAGTTTTCAGTGCGATGCTAATCCAGGTAAAATAGTCCGTATTGGGGGAGCATCGTCCCTGTATTTTGATTTATTCTGATATTCCAATGGATTACAGTTTGGGCGATCACTGTATAAAACATGGTTATTGTGTTACTCTTCTAATTTACGAAACGGAGTCCAGAAATTCGACAGTTACCAAATTTTCGATAATTGAGTGAAATACGTGTTTGTAAGACAATTTCAGACGACAATAAGGTCTATAAATGTGCTATCATATATTCGTTCAAGCTGATGTGAATTGTTGCCAGATGTCGTTGATCGGAACTACTTAGTTGGGCTTGCTTTTGTGTCGACATGTATCACATTTTCCCCTTCTGCAGCCGCATTTGTGATCATGTGACCCGATTTTGATTTGCGCTGTGATCACGCAAGTTCAGAGACCAAATATCGATCGATAGCTAGCCCGCGTGGCCCACTGTGTGCTCGTGTGCTTGTGTGGTGTGTGTAGAAACGCAACACAATCTACTTATCCAACCCTGTGACAAGAACAAAAATGCCCCGACTCAGTGTATTCTCTTGGGATGGGTTGGATAATGATGACGCGAGTAGTGAACTACAGGAAACACAGAACCGAATGCGTTCATACAAAGTCGGCTCACATTTGAACGTTATAGCCTCAAAAAAGGGGAGAAGAACGGAACTAAGCCGGCACATGGTACGTGCTTTGTTTCGACCATCTGTCGTCTTGTTAGACAAAACTCCCGCACCACCGAGCGATTTGAATCCATTGCAACGTTGCCTCAATCCCCGATGGAAAACCTCAGCCATGCAACTGCACTTACGTATCATGGCCATGAGTGAAAAACGGGACTTGACACAACAGGAAATAATGCGACACACTTCTCAGACAAATCATTTCACCTCGTTTCCGTACAATCCGGGAACAAAAGAAGGCTTCTATGTGGAACGCACTGGAACCGTGTTACCATATATAAGTCCCAGGAATTGTGCCACACCCGACCGAATCTGGCTTCGAAATTTACAACTCAGCGATTTTCGACCATTACAAGCCCCGTTTGTACCAGACCTAATACGAATTTTAGCCAATGCAATTGAAAAAGATTGCCGAAGTACCACATTTTCTCTGTTTTTTGATCATTTACGTCCGCTTCGAGTTCAAGCGCGAAAACAAGCGGCCTATTTGGTCCGGATTAGTCACGATAAAAAACAGCTTCATAAAACAATCAACAGCCTAAGCAATCCCGTGCGAATGGCCACACTGAGAATGTTCCTGAGCGCGCTCCAAGTCAAACCGCTCCATTTGAGTAAAGCTGTATTGAAACAAATCATCAAGCGTCCATTATACGACCAATTTTTAAGACCTAATCCACATATTAAAACTTTGGTACGACAAATTGCTTTGCCTAAAACCCGTACGGAACTGGACACATTGGCATTCCTGATGACACATATCATTAACGCATGGGAGGCGTCACCAGTTGTTCCAATGGGACGAACTACATTATCCGATATTTATGGGCCACTTTTGATTAGCTTTTCAGAACGACCGATCATTATCGATCGGGATGTGAGCCCGAACAAGACAGAAGAAGCCGCTCTGATGGAGGTGATTTTGGATGTGTGCGATGCTCCGTTTTGGAATCACTTGAGTATGCTTCAAATACATAAAGCATTTCAAAAGACCGATCAAAGTGTTCCGGTAGGAGATGACACAAGGTTAGTCATTTTGTATATTAGATGACAAACTTTTCACCCTTATCTATAACCCTTCCCCTGTCCAACCGGAAATGATATTTCATTTGTTTCGTTTTCCTTGCGATTTTGTTGGGGAATCTGAATCCGTGATGGGTTGCTTTCCAAAACGAAAGCGTTCTGATCCGAATTGTGAAGTTTATTCGCCATTTTCTGTAACATGAGCATGGTAAATTCATAACCAATAATAGCCTAGCATAGTAGTATAGTATATATTAATTCTTTTTTCGATATCACCGGTGACTGCAATGTGATCGGTAATCTTTTAAGTTCAAAATTCTGTTTCCAGATTGCGGGGAAAACGAAATCAAAAGATATTCGTGATAATAGTTCCATCCTTTCTGGTGGCATACCTCGTGAGTGTAGGAAAATAAAATGCTTTCAACGAGGGTCGAGAAACGCTTTCACTAATATCTCATGCTTCGGTTCCGATGTTCTTAACAAAAATAAATAAGCTAATTTTTTCAATCATAGAGAGCAAGATGTCCAACTGTCAAAAAATTGAAAGCAGACGTCATTTATCCTTAGTTGGGACATACTTACACACTGGATTACTCCATTTTCAGGAGCAAATTGACGATTAAAGTTGTTCATATCTTCACACAAACCCCAGGGTTTGTTTTTGCTGTATAGGGTTTAAAAAAACATCATTCCTCAAAGTGATCATCCCTTCAATGTCTTGCTCAGGGTCAGGGTTTTGGATCCCGATCGATAAATGAACCCGATCGGTCGTGTGCTTTGCGGGCCGGCACAGGAGGAGGATAGGTTCCGAATTCGCTGTTGCCTAAGTGTTGGTAGGGAGTAAGTTGTGGAGCAGTGCGTCATGTGGGAAATTCGGAACGAAAAATGCTCAAGCGATGATGACACTGGGCCAACGCTTGACTCGTCTAAGATACACGGACTCTGTTTCGAAGCGGTTTTGGTAAACAGATAATTACAATAAAACTTTGAACTTGTCATAATAACGGACAACAATATCCCCTAATGCGGACCCACGCAAAACTCTTCTTGTTTTTTCTGAGTCGAGGAAACTTCTCACCCCCACAGCATTGTGTGGCGGTGCACCGTCATGTTGGAACCAAAGGTTAGTACCATCTTCAGCTTCTATATGCCGGATGGCTTGTCACATCTGATCGAATCCGAACATCCTTTCGGAATGAGTGAAGCGCTCAGGCCCATCTACACGATCACCGGGGTGAGATCGATTATCAACTGAGTGTCAAACGGTTTATGTATCTAATACATTTTACAGTACAAAAGGGACTCGCAGGATTATCTGAACTCTCGTTCACCCCTTACTGTATTGTTCATAGTATCCATACACACGCACAGCAACACAAACATCTAAGTTTTTTTTCAGGATCATTGGCACTTACAAGCCTGTGCGAATGGTAGAACGCAAATCTCAACAGTGCCCCTCAGATCAATGAAGAAATTAGACAGGTCACTGGCCAAAGATAATCGTCATTAGGGTCTAACGCACCCCTTATTGTTTTTGAGTGATGTAGCTCTACTTGGGGATAACGGCAGTACTACGAGAACAAGGAAAACCTTTCGCTGACGGTGAAGGAATTCAACAACACTTGTGCAACGAGTGTTAGGACAAACGGTGCAAAAGTGCTGATTAAAAAATTCAAATCTACCGGAAGTGTACACGGTTTCCCACATGATGCACTGCTCCACAACTTACTCCCTACCAACACTTAGGCAACAGCGAATTCGGAACCTATCCTCCTCCTGTGCCGGCCCGCAAATCACACGACCGGTCGGGTTCATTTATCGATCAGTCAGATGGTTCAGCCGCAACAAGGGACCCATTGCTTGCCCATCTAACCCGAGCGAGAAACACCTTGTTTGCAGCCGTGAGTCTCAGGCAGGCCCAGTGAACTTGGGCTGTGCAGCAGGAGTGCCATCAGCACACGAATCGATTAGAAGTAACAACGAGAGCATTACAAAACGTACAAGCCGGTAATCAGACAGTTTCGTGTTGAGGTGGGCGATTTTAAGCGCCGTAGACCGCGGAATATGATCCAGTCAGATCACAGAAAGGATCGGAGGGAAATTACGTGTTTCAGGTCACTGATGAGAGAGACGAGTCGATGGCAAACGATGGAGCAACCGCACTGTAGGTTTGATGGGTTTGTAACCTTATTGTTCACCGCAAATTCACAGTGTTGGTTATGATTCTAGCATGAATTGCCACACTACTCACAAGTAACTATGAGCTAACTCGCGAATAAAATCTGTCGTAGTAGAAATCCACCAGATTTGTACGTCCAAAGCTGCATGGAAGACCTGACCTGGTGGGAAGCTTATGAGTGGAGTTAATGGATAATCTACTGTATATTGGTTCGTTAATATCGGGATGCATTTACAGAGCGACCTTGATTCTCGTCGTTCTTCGTCTGCTCTGGTTGACGCAATGACAGCTCACGCCCTTAGGACGAGGCAACTGGAGTCCGCAACTTGATTTTGATGTTTCCCGATTTGAGTGGATGAACTATGGATTTTGTATGCGGATGAAGTCGATAACATGATCAGCATAAGTAATATCGCTTGCCGCATTTCATTCTACTCACAACCTAAAATGAATGACATGTGAATTCGTTTTTTCTCTCCTAGGTGTCTCCATGAAGTGTATGGTTCGCTATCGGACAACCAATTGTTCGGTGATAGTGAGGTTGAATCAAACGAGTCATTCCTTCCCTGGAGTTTACGTTCAACCGATGCACTCCTGCGTGACTTGTTTCGAATTCGATTGAGTATGAAATTCGCGGAACCGGGTACATCGGAAAAAAGGTTGAAGTGTAAAGCCCGGATTGTAAAAGGTAAAAAAGTGCGCAATCAATTGAAACAACCCCAAACACAACAGTTTAACGATACGGTACCTTCTTTATGAGGTTAGGAGCAGACGTTGCTTGTGTAATACGAGACTAGCAAATGTGTCTGCACATGTAGAACAGTGGACGTGCATTTAAAAGGTGAACAAAAAAGAAGAGTACACCCCACAATACCATATAAAATAAAAATATGGTTCATATGTTATAGCTGTTTTCTGTTCTTCTTCCAAGGGTGTCTTTCGGTAATTAGTCAATTATTCAATCGACCAAACGCAGCCAGAAGCGAACTGAAGGTATGAAGCCTCTGGAAATAATATCTGTACCCGACAAATGGTTAAGAGACTGACCTGAAGTTTGACCATAGTTAACAAGAAACCTGTATGTGATATCTCTTGATGAGGCAAATTTTTGTTAGGCAAAAACCACGCCTCGACATTCGCGTGGAGAGGGGAGGCTATCCGATAATCTGAAAAGTTTGCAAAGCGGCCACCAAGCGGACCGCAACCCATGTGTGCTAGCAGGGACAGCGATTGCCGTTCACGGAAGCTTGACATCAAAAGTTGTTAAGCGTTGCCTACCTTAGATGTCAAAGTCAAAGTCAAAGTTTTATTATGGGAATAGCTTACAAGCTGGTGCTTCTC